GACAACTACACATCAACGGACAACAACCATGTCAACGGAGGATGGCCACGTCAACTGACGGCCACGACCCACGACGTAGAGCACCCACCCCATTGGCGAAGACAACGACAACGACGAGTGCATACGACGACACGACAACGACGCAACACAACGGCGACGCGACGCCACGACGACGACGCGCGCCCACATCGTCGAGCGCCCACGTTGTCGACAACGCAACACGTTGACGACAACGTGACACGACAACAACATGCACCCACGTTGTCGAGCCTTCCTTCCCTTTTCCTCCCTTTCCTGTCCCCCCTTTCTCTCCCCCTTCCTTGTCCATCTCCTCTCCCTTTTCTTTCCCCCTTCCTTGTCCATCTCCCCTCCCTTTTCTTTCCCCCTTCCTTGTCCATCTCCCCTCCCTTTTCTCTTCCCCTTCCTTGTCCATCTCCCCTCCCTTTTCTCTCCCCCTTCCTTGTCCATCTCCCCTCCCTTTTCTCTCCCCCTTCTTTGTCCATCTCCCCTCCCCTTTCCCTCCCCCTTCACTTTCCCTCCCCCTTCCTTTTCCCTCCCCCCTTTGTCCCTCCCCCTCCCTTTTCCCTCCCCCTTCCCTGTCCCCTCCCCTGCCTTATCAATCCCCTATTCCTTGTCCCCCTTTCCTTTTCCCTTCCCCCCTCCCTCCCCATTTCCTGCTCCCCCCCCCTTCCTTCTCCACCACTCTCTCTCCCTACCACTCCCTCCCCCCTCCATCACTCTCCCCCACTCCCTCCCCCCTCCCTTTAACACTCAATGTAGTAGAATAGATTTATGTAGTTCTATCAAATACACTGTGATTCTCCCTATTCAAGTCTAAATAGCATAAGGAATTCTTAGAAGTTATGAGCATAAGGTCTGAGTTGATTAAGTCATGTGACATCTAGCTAAGCTTGGAAAAATATGTGTTTTAGGCCATTCCTGTCCATTCCTGTCCATTCCAGTGGATTCCAGTGGATTCCAGTGGATTCCTGTGTCATTCCTGTGGATTCCAGTGCCATTCCTGTCCATTCCTGTGGATTCCTGTGCCATTCCTGCGGATTCCAGTGGAATGGCTCCATTCCTGCAGGAATCAGTGGGGCATGACGAAGTACTGCGATGGAGCTTCATGATATATATATATATATATTGCTGTAGACCTCCAGCAGAGCTATTAAAAAGAAGGAATTTCATTTTTATATTGAAGTCACAAAAGAAATTTCCATTGCTCTACCTAAGCATTTCATTTTTCTTTTATGCTACCAGCAGATACTCTCCTCATTGATTGAAACACTTGGTTATCATTTTCATTAGTTCCCTTTAATATACATTGCTCTGCCAGAGTTGTCATTAAAAATATTGCATTGCTCCGCCGGCATTGTCATTAAAAATATTGCATTGCTCCGCCGGCATTGTCATTAAAAATATTGCATTGCTCCGCCGGCGTTGTCAAAAAAATATTGCATTGCTCCGCCGGAGTTGTTAAAAAAAATATTGCATTGCTCCGCCGGCATTGTCAAAAAATATTGCATTGCTCCGCCGGAGTTGTCAAAAAAATATTGCATTGCTCCGCCAGCGTTGTCAAAAAATATTGCATTGCTCCGCCGGAGTTGTTAAAAAAAATATTGCATTGCTCCACCAGAGTCATTATAAAATATTGCATTGCTCTGCTGGGGTTGTCTTTAAGAAATATTGCATTACTCCACCCAGGTCTTAAATACCTTTGCAGATTGAATGTGTGGAGCCTCTTCTGACAGATCAATCCAGTATTTGTCATTTATGCAGAGGCAATGTGTGGTTTAGTCCAGTGGAGTGTCTTACAGAAATTTCATGTCACTGGTGGAGTGGTCCGGCGGAGTATCATAAAAAAATTACATCACCAGTGGTGAAACATTTGCCTCACTGGTTGAACTAAACACTTTTGGCAAAGGAAATGCATGAAGCCTCTCCTGACAGAACATTATAAAAATGTTATCATTTCTTTTGGAGGCAATGTGCAGTGCTTAGTAGCTCCAATCAAATCATAGCAAACAACATACATAGATTGACAATATTATGCATGATTTGTATGAGCCAGGCTTGTAATTCTAAGTGTTCATTATGATCATGACCGCCGGTGCAATATTTAGCCCCGGCGGAGGGCAGCTCCGCAGGAGGATATGGCAGTCAAGGTACACCCGGCTACTCCAATCATATGGGGCATTGTTGCTGATGGCCAGCCCATGGTTACTGGGTGATTGTACAGGGTCTGGCCGCCCCTTCCATATTGGGGCCCCACCATCAAACCGGCCGGGCCGGCTGGGCCCTTACCACATGGTTGTTTGTCAGGGCCGGGTGGCCCATCACTATTGGGCCATGATGACTAACATAACTGCAGAGTGCCCATTCCCTTCTGGGTGATAGGGCGAAGAAACAATGACCACAATCCCGTACTGTTTGAAAAGAATGTCAACCGCGCCTTTAAATTCTGAACCGCCATCAACGAGACAAAGGAGAACACATCCAAAACGTGAATATACTTCCTCATATAAAAACTTCACCCAGGTCTCTGAGTTCGGTTTACGAGCTGCCCGCGCTTCTACCCAAGACATAGCGGGGTCGGTTGCTTGAAGCAAATATTTCATCCCTCCAACACCGTCTGGCATGTGGATAGTGTCCAGGTCGAAGCGTCGCAATATTCCTGAATTCCAAGTCGGACTGAAAGGAACAATAGGTCGAGTTTTCGAGCGTAGTTGGCAGACATTGCACGACCGGACGAAGTAGGCGATTTGATCGAACATGTTGGGCCAATAGTACCTTTCCGAAAGCGTCTTGTAAGTGGCATCGCGTCCTCGATGTCCTACATTGTTATGAGCTTCCGCTACAAGGATGGGGCGGCGGTCAAAGTCCACTACAACAAGACGAGGCAACTTCCCTTGAACTTCAATTTTCCAAAGCCGGTTGTCGTGAAGGAAAAACCCTTTTGTCTTTCGAATGAAGGATTTCCGCTTGACCGGATCTTGGCAACGCTCTGGCAAGGCATCGGTCTTCAAGTATGCGATGATCTCAGCCCACATTTCTGGAGAGTCTTCATCCTTCACACTGTATGCATGAGTTGCGCAAGTCACGTCCATCCGAGGGTCTACGTCTTCATAATTAATCCTGTTGTCAGTTCGCAAGGAAGGATCCGGAATCCCTGGAAGAGTTGACTGATCAGTCATGGTAGGTCGAGGCGCACCTTGTCTTAAAGCAGACATGAAAGCACGAGGGTATCGTTGAATTTCCAATGTGAACACCTCATCCGCCAGCTTGCAGGTAACCAACTCGGCCACGTTCACTCATCTGTGCTCAAATTCTCGACCTGTATACGAAAAATCGTCAGTCAGCGAAAGAAGCAAACGCTTAACAAGTGATCCGTTGCTTGAATCCTTTGTTCCTTTGTCGAAATTCGAGTCCTTCAAACGTTGGAGTTCTGCCGCTAAAGCTGGTGCCGGGTCTTCTACGTGAAGGATAGAGAGGTCTTCAGCTATCGAAGTCGTGCGAAATGAGGCAAAAGGAGTTTGAGGAGTGCGATGCATGATCAATAATAGATCCTTGAAAAAATTGTTGTCAAGTTGCGTAGGTCGAAAAGCATGCAAAGATTCTGTAGATAAAAAGTTTATTAATGAAGAGACTGAGCAAGCCTGGATCGACGCCGAGCCCATAAACTTGTCCAAGTATTCTTCCGCATCTTCTTCGTCAGAATCCTCGGGGACGCGCTTTCGCCGAGACAACCCATCCACGCTGGCGTGCTTGTCGGCGGGTACGTGATTCATTACGTAGTCGAAAAGTGCAATATATGAGATCCATCTTGTCATTGGTGCGTTCGGGAGGTCAGGTTGCTTCACCATTTCGATCAGAAATTTTGCATCAACGTCAATACGGAAATGGATGCCCCAGATGCGATGTCGAAGGTCCTTAACTGCGCGAAAAACTCCGTAAAGCTCTAACTTCGCCTGGGAATACCTAGATTCAGTATCATTAAAAGTACAAGAGCCGAAAATCACCGGGTGTTTTTCTTTTTCAACCATTTGAAATAATATCCATCCCGTCCCATTCTGACATGAATCTATCCCAACGATGACTAGTCCATGCTCTGAGGTGCGGGGCAAAGGATCTAAATGAGTCATCTGTTTTGCTGCTTCGTAGTCGAGCTTGACCAAAACTGGAGCCGTGGAGATAAGACGCTTGAGTTCTTTTTGCGCTGCTTCTGCTTCTGGAGAAAAATAAAATTCTCGCTGGACGGCTAGACGAGTCAGCTGCGTGAGTGGCTTCGCTATGAGAGAAAATCCGCATATCCATTTCCGCCCAACTCCTGCCGTTCCAAGAAACGACCTGACATCTGTAACACTTGTCAGCGGACCCCAATTCAAAATTTTCGTTACTAATCCATGTTCAAGATGCCATCCATCTTTTGAAACGATGGTCCCGACAATGTGGAGGCGAGGCGTAGCGAGGACAAGCTTCTTTCCAGATGCGGTTATCCCTGCTTCGATAAATTGCGCGAAGAAACGATCCAGAGTAGTTGCGTATTCGAAAACAAAGCGCCGAATGCCAGGTGCGATTTCTTCATCCTCGTGAGTCGAAGTTGGTCCTTTCAATCCGACGTCATCCACAAAAACACCCCCATTTTTGGGAATTTCCTCCTGTAGAGTGTGAGTAGTGCAACGCTGAAATTCTGGAAGCGAATTGGTAGCCCCTTGAGGGAGTACGCAAGAACGATGTGGCCCTATAAGAGAACTAAAAGTAGTGAGAGGTCTTGAAGCGACACCTAGCCTTCGCCCATCATAACCTGAAAACAAATCTGCGAGGCCATATATTACGTGCCCCACGAAACTCTCTGCAAAGTCATCAGTCCTCGGAGGTAAACCAGCATCACGCACCGTAACCTTGTTGAGTTCTTGAACATCCGCAACGAGACGAATACCCCCTTTTGGCTTGCCTACAGCGAAGATCCGAGATCGATAGGAAGCGGTTGAGTATTCGTATTTTCCCGCCGCTTTCTGATCCAATAGCATTTGCCGGACAGTTTCTTCTATAGCTTTAGGGACGCGAATCGGCGCTTGAACCCAAGGAACGTGTCAA